TACTGACATTTAGAAATGATACCTACCAATAGTTTATATTTTCTTACAATTGACATTACATAATATTTATTGTTTAGTTTTAGGTTAGGTACATCCCTAAATCAGTTCTGTTGTTATTGGATTGTTAAGTTGACACTTTTTTTTAGCTTTGGACCTGATCCTGCAAAGACATATGCAAGTGCTAACCACAGATTTGTTGTACTACGCTGGAACAATGTGTAAAGTAAAAAATCTGTTTAAACCTTGCAGCCTTTTATTTTTAATGGAATTTTATTTTCCTTCAAGCAGTCTAAATCGATTATTTGCCTTGAATGCATCTTCGTTATTAGTGTGCTAGGAAAAAAATGAACGTAAGAAGTTTTTTTTGAAAAGAGCTGGGTGTGCCCAAAGGAAAATGTTTTCCAATCTAATACAGAGGTGAAGGGAACAATAAGAACTAATGACACATCCTGGCATTGCTGGGTGTGGCTGAAACTGATTACTTGGTATCTGTAATCTGAAGACTGGCAATTTTATGATGCCAAAAATATGTGTAGGAAACTCCTCCTCAGCTCTGGTAATGTAAGCAAGAGAGTTTTTAATGAAATAAAAATCACTTTTAAGTGTACAGACTCCTGTCTCCCTCCCACTTTCAAGTGAAGAACATTAGAAATTTATTAGACAATTAAAATCTGTTTTGCATTATGGCTGCAACCTGGCACTATGTTTGCTGTAAACTTCAACTACTGTCACTATACAGTAGTTTAAGATATCTAGCTTTATTGTTAAAACTTATGTCTTTATTGCTGAGCTCCACTGTTCTGAGTCTTGACATTTGGAATCTATTCAGTAGTGAAACCAATTAAAAATTTTGGGGGAAAAGTCTCACTTTAGATATATGACAAAGCAGAATTTTGTCATTTAACCAAATGCAAGGTTCTCCAAATATATTTTTGCTCATTTAACCAAAACAGTTGTCTCATTCAAAGCTGTGGGATATTAAGTGAGCTAATATCTTTAGCTTGTTTTCTAAAATTGAGACAGTATAATAGTAGGTCAGTTGGAACAGTGAACTTTTGCCATTTGCCTCAGGGCGTGACTAAATAATGGCATATATCAGTTCCTTGAAAAAGTGAGCCACCTCATTAAAAACATATTGCTGGCATAATTGCATCTTCATTGGGGCTTTTGTAAAATAGATCATTTGTGGTTCATACTTCCAAGCAGAATAGCTCTACTGGCAATTTTATTTTAACAGGAGGCCAGGCTTGAAACCCCCATTAAGAAAGGAAGCTTATACCTGAAGCAACAGTTGTCTGGCCTTGAACTTTATTGGAAAATCTGGGTGGAGACACTTGCAGTGTATCTGACGTAAAAGTGTGAATTAGATTTATATAGGTTCTGTATATAGGGAAATCAGGGTCTGTAAAGTAATCTATAAATATGGATTTACATGATTGGTCTTGGTCTTAATAGCTCTTATTTGAATTGTCATAGTTTGACAGGCCATTGTGCATTTTGTGATATCTAGCTATGCATTTTAAATTTGCCTTCATGTGCAGCAGTGATTGTTCCATTGTGTTAACACCAAGAAAGACTGTTTGGTTTTAGGATCAATAAAATGTTGAATAAATGTGCACGCAGGATATGATGGCATTAATATTGGACTGCTGACTTGCAGCACTTGAGAAATTTGAAGTCCAGGCAGATATTTCTGTCCTTGCTTTGTACTGTCCCTGGTATGTAATTCTTACGTCACTTCATTCATCTGGTCTGCAAGCAGCCATAGGCATTACATATATGGAAACTCCTCCTTCTCCCCCCTCCCCCAAATGGTATTTTACTTTAGATTTGGTGTGTTCCCATGCTGAGCCCAGCACATGCCCAGAAGAGGAAGGGCATTAGTTGCACCTGGCTTTCCCAGTGTCTATAGATCAGACGCCTTCATAGGGCTTTTTTGGCACTTTGCATTTATCTGATAGCTGATTGAATCGGCTATTAGATAAAAGCACCAAAAAGCCCTGTTGAAGCTCCTGATCTATACAGAAGCTGTGGAGCTGAGCTCAAGTAACATACTGCTGCTTCCAGTAAAGCTTCCAGTGGTTTGTTGGAGTTTTTTTTTTCCACGTCTGCCAGAGTCCTATATGTTCAACCAAAGAACAACTGGGGAAGTTAAGGATGAAGTGCCAACTTTAAACAACTGTCTCGGTGATGTATTTATGTTTAACCTTTGCCCAATGCCGTCATAGCTTTTATGGATATAGTTGCCCTTGTGATCTGAGTTGTTCAAGAGTATTCAGCCTAAAGAAATGTAAGAAGGTTGGTCTTATTTTTGCTCTGTAGTGACTGGCAGGTACCTGATAACAGTTTTTTTTTTTTTTTCCCTTTTCCTTTTTAAAGGTGCCATTCTTTCTATTCATAATATTTGCTGTTTATACCATGCTACCTTTTGGGATGTTAGAGGCTATTATAATCAGCATCCTTTCTGCGGTTTCCCATATTATAGCCCTAAGCATTGTGGCATCTCGTGTTCTACCATGTAAAGAGTCCATTGTATTTCAGGTAAGGAAATGCTGGTTGTTTGAATATTCAAATATCTTGGATAATATTTCCATTAGAGATGGGTGCAGATTGCAAAGTTCAGATACAGGTCCAAAATTCCATGTTCTGAGCTCTTGGTTTGGGTCCACATCCTATTTGTATGCTTCTCTTTAAGGAAATTACAAATGATGTCCACTGGTAAATATTTGCTTTTCATATATGGTTCATCTATGCATTGTGACACAAATTAAGGAGACTGGAAAGAAATGTGCAAAAGATTTAAAAGAATCTGCATTAGCCATACGTAAAAACTGGAAGGGGGGCATTACCAAAAATATTCAAGACTTACATGCACAATACTGAATGAATGATATTTTTATGGTAGAGAATGCTCCAGCAACACATCTGGATTTTTGAGACAAATGCATGAGAATCATAATTCTATTTCAAGTGAAGGATCAGCTTATAGTAATAAAGATTGTATAAGGTTTAAAAGCTCTTTGATGAAAAAGACAAGTTTTCAACTTCATATGTAGCTGAACTTCATTGATTCCATGATTTTAGGAGCTTATTATGCTGTAGACTTTATGCAGGATTTCATATGAAAAAAGTCCTTAGTTGCTTAAATTACTTGCTAGGAGTGCATACACACATCTTAAGTTGACTTAACTTACTTAAATCACCTTATTTTTACTTAAGTTAAGCCACGTCGGAGTGTACACATGTATAGCTCCTTGACATAGCAGCAGCCATCTTGTTAGCCCTCCCCTGCAGTAGCCCTGGTTACCAGGTAGGTATCACTGCAAGCTGTGGCTGGGAGGCTGGGCTGACCCTGTCACTCAGGGCAGCCCAACCCCTCCTTCTAGTCTCTTAAAGGGAGTGCCTCACCACTGGCTGCCTCTTACTCAGTACAGGGATGGACTTAGCTGGGGGTGGGGGCCTTCATGCTGCATGTGCCTTTAAGAGCCTGAGCACATGGCAGGAATGTGGCTTCAGGCAGTGCAGGTGGTGGAATAAGGAAGTGATTGCCCCAGAGGCTCATGGGGCATACAAATGTTGGAACAAGTTAAGTCAGCTTAAGTTGGCTTAGCTTACACATGTACTTTAAGTTGACTTAGCGTCTGCTTAACTAATCTGACTCAAGATAATACATGTTGGAGACGTATTATCTTGTGCTGCATTTAAGTCTAGTGTGTGCCACATACGTGTGTATGCTTTGGTTAAGTTGGCTTTAAAAAGTTATGTTGACTTAACTGTCAGAAAGTTAGTGCATGTGTGTATGCACTGTAGGGCCACATCCATGTGAGCATGGATGTTTATTTCCTTGGGGACGAGAAGCAGTGGCACACCTTATGCCACTGCTACTTGTCCCTGGGGAATGCCTGTGCCACGCATGCTCTGGCATGCAGCAGGTTACCCCAGGTGGAGTAGAGGAGGCTGGGGCTAGCAACGGTGCTGGCCCGAGCAGCCTTATCTGGGATACTGGGGGCTGGGGAAGCTGCAGTTGCAATACTCCTGCAGCTGGGAGCCTGCAGGCAGTTGGAGCATAGCTCTGGCCAGCGAGGTGCTGGTTTTGGGCAGCGTGTGCTGCTACCATATGTGCCATCCCACTTTTTTTTCGTGTGGGTTTTTTTGACCCTGGGATCTCCTGGGGTCAAACCCCCCCTGTGCTGCAATGTAGCAGTGTGGAGAACGCCTGAATGCATGGAGTGTGGCACTGCTGTGCTCATCTGGATGTGGCCTACAAGGACAAGTAGATCAAATGTAATTCCTTTTCTGAATGAGTGAGCGTTTTCATTAATGACTGGGACAAATATACTGTGTCCTATTAAACAGAGTGCTTTACTTTTTGTGATAATTTTATCTTGGTCACGATGAAGGACTAGGGAGTTTGGCATATGTTCTGCACTCGTATACTTCTAAAAAGAAATTTCAGATTGTTGAATGAATGTGACATAGTTTCTCAGTGCCCTACTGGATTTATGTAATACACTGCCTTTTCCTTCCCCCCTCCTCTTCTACCACAAAAGACTTACCTGCTGTATACAGCTCTCCAAGCTGCTGGGTTGTGCTCCTTGCTGCCTACGTGCTGCGCTGTGGCTATGCGCATGCATGGGGCATTTATTGGCCACGTTATTGGCCATATCAGGCTGATTTCCGATGCAGTCAGTTTTCTTTATATCAGTGCCAATCTGTTATGGGACCAATGTATTGGTGCACCTTATTCTTATTTGATTGTCAGTCTGGTGTTAGTTAACAGTAGCTTTGCTAGGATTATCTATGAATCTTTCTTGTTTTATGATCATGTTTACAAAAAAATAGGTTTTTCAGTTGTCTTACACATCAGGAGGAAACTTTAATTACTAGTGCAGTGACCCAAGAGCTGTATTCTTTTGACTATTTTATTATCTAGACAACATACCATTTATGTTTCACAGTCAGCTCCACTTGAAAGGTAAATTAAGTGCTTGTGTAAGGCCTCCATTTGGATTATTTTCAGTTTTTAAGGGGAAGAGGAAGATCCATTTGATTTGTAAAGGAAGAATTTTGATTAGATGTTTCCTGCACTCAATCTTTTTTTTTTTTCCCCTAGGTAGCGAAACATTTGAGACTGATACAGATTTTCCATGAATGAGAGGAGGACTGTTAGGTCAGGCAAAGGCATTTTGGCAATTGTTGGCTCTAAGACGAGACTTCTTAATCATTTTGTATATTTTAGGCAGGTGCGGGCAATTATTTTGCATGGAGGGCCACTTACTGAGTTTTGACAAGCCATTGAAGGCTGCATACCAGGCCACTAGGGCCAGATAAATATTAATTTTCTAAATTTTTTAGGGGCCCTGTGGGCTGGATAGAATGGCCTGGCAGGCCGCATTTTGCCCACTCCTAATCTTAAGGCACAATGTAGAAAAAAGGCTAACCATGATTTCCTATAATGATGATAGCTGTACTTTCAAAATCAGGGATGTTTGAAAGTGCTCACCTCACCTTTTGAAACTGGTTTGATGGTAAAGTGTTACTTTTTAAATCCCCTTGGTACTTCACATGGTTTAATCATTATCATGCTTTTTCCCTTTTGTATTGTATATCAGTAACACCAACCACATTTGCATCAGTGCTTTAAGAAATTTTAACAAATTTGGGGTACCCTATCAAAGAGTGAAAGCACACATCAGTTGATCCCTTCCCAGCCAGCCCTCCTTTCCATTCCAAGGCCAAGAAGCTAATTTTTCTTTCCTGTTACAGTTTTGGAGTAACGGCCATGAAATGTATGCCTACAGCTAGAAATGATCACTCTCCTGCAATCAAAAGAGCAGGGGGGAAAAAAAAGATAAATCTGAATTTGTTTCAGCATAATCTTGACAGACTAAACTGTTAGCACCAGTCCCTTCCCCTTGGAGGAAAAGAAGCAGAAAACTTTTACTGCATCTCTTTGATCAAGTACCAGATTTAAATAGAGAGTGAATGTCAACCTGATCTTTGGGAAGGTGAAGGAAGAGGTTTGTGTTCTCTAAACTAAATGCTTGAGTCTGGGGAAAAAAATATCAGGCATTTCCTAACAGCAAATGGTATGTACCAACAGCACCTTACCAGAGCATTTTTACAACCACTTGGCTAGCACTACCACTTGTCTATCCTGCTGCTTTTAAAAAAGATAAAAAGCTAGAATAAGGAGTTCACCCTCAGTGATTCATGGATAGCACATTTTTTATATGTACATGTCATATCTCATTAAATGAGATACCTCTCAATGACCTTACTTCCTTTCCAGATGAATGTTTGTGGTAAAGTGAGGTCACTGCTCTTTCTAACATTTGATATTCGTTCCATAATTAGCAGTAGATATGTTTTCAGTGCACTAATCACAGTCCAGAGC